TACAATTTTCTTAACTCTACTCATCCCCATGTACCAGTTCTGTTCCCCTTCTGATTTTCCTTTGTTATTCGCAAGATGGCTGCCAGCTATAACAGGGATTTCATGTTTTCTTTACAACCATGAGAAAAGAACAACTGGACTTCTTATAACCACTGTTTTGAGAAGTCAAAAGTGACAACCAAGCAAAAGTCCTGAGCTTTGAGATGACTGGATCACCATGGAACCAATCCCTGTAGCCAGGAAAATACCTTGGTACCACTTGGTTTAAGCATGGGTTACCTGAACCAATCACCTGTGGGGCTGGGGCTGGGGACCTACACAGAGGACATGGCTGTTACCTGCTAGGAAAGGAGTGACGTGGAATTTGAGGAGGTAGTCACAGCATAGTGTCTGCTACAATCCTTCATGCACAGACTCTGAATTACTAAGTGCTTTTTATTCACTATCAGAGATAAGCTCTGTACAAAGGAATCTATTTCCTTTAAATTTGCTAAGTCAGACATTAAAGATGTCTTTTAAGTTTGTTTTTTCATAGCTCTTTTCCCTTAAGAATACACTGAAATCACCCCTCCCCCCCCGCAAAGAAATGTTTTTAAAGTTTGATATCAGTTTTTAATTCAGAATGATTTAAAATCTATCCTTTATTCCATCTTCCCCAACCCTTTCCTCCCATTTTCCAAAAGCAATATGATCTAATTTGGAATTTTCATTTCTAGTAACCCAAATATTTTCTCCTTCAACTTGGATAATGGAGCATTAAATATACAGAAGAAACCATGTCATGTTCTAAGGTATAAGAAGCCTTGAAAGTTTCCTTCAGATGCATGTTCACCAGCCTCCCAAAACTTATCAAAGCAATGCCTGTCCTGTCCTCATAAATTCACCCCAAATTCATCAACTCAATATGCAAAGTACTGGTCTGAAAGATTTTCAACAACTAAATATTTATTTTACACTTTAATTAGAAATACAGCTCCTTGAGTTTAGAAATGCAATTATAATACTAAATAAAGTGTCCAGGGAGGAGTCCACCTGCAATATTTTCCTCCTACTGCCTTGTTGATGTGAGAATGAGCTGGTCGGAAGACAGGCCACAGCCTTCTTTAAACAATCACTGTTTAAAGGCCATGGAGGACAGACTAAATGAGAAGCTAACTTCACATAACCTCAGATATCAAAACAATTGTAGCCAAACTTGCGATATTTTCTCCAAGCATTATACTTGAAAGAACCATCCTACACTTTCAACTTATTCAAGGTGAAAATGAGTATTCTTTCGCGATTTTAGAGGGTGCCTGCCACTGACGCTCACAACTTGCATTACTGGCAGATGCACTCAGGGAAGAAGTTTAGAATCAGGTCTGGGTATGTTTTCAGTTTGGAATTTACGACTATATCGATCACTCTTCCTCACTGACTTCCCCTCCTTGATTTTAGCAGTGTTGGCTGCCAAAACCCAAAACGCAAGGCATAGTGCATTCCCTTCTGCGTAGCAGGACTCGAAGGCATTTTGGTCTCTTCAACCCCTTGACCTTGTGTGAGAGTGGAGGAAAAGGAACAGTTGTCTGCCACCGAAACCATATGCCACCTTTGGAATGGCCTCATCTCCTCTCTCTTAATAGGGAGCAGCCCTGGGGTTAGAGGGAAGAAGAAGTTGCAACACCTGGGCCAGGCCTGTGGCAGGCCGGCTGCGCCCCCCCACTAAGCAGGCAGGTGTGTGTGTGTGTGTGTGTGTGTGTGTGTGTGTGTGTGTGTGTGTGTGTGTGTTGGGGGGGGAGGGCACCTTGGCCCAAATGCTGCTTAGTCAGGCTCCAATGCCTCACTGAGCTGCAGATGTGCCCAGACCTGCCGTCACCAGGTGTCTATGTCTGGGCCGGGAGGTGACGGAACAACTGTGACTCTTGCCTCCTGGTGTTTCCCGACACTGTCCTCAAAGGAATGTGGAAGACTTAGGCAAAGCCACCTCAGAAGGCCCCTGACAGAGCCACAGCTCTCTGCCCACCCTGCCATGTCAAAAGCCCTGCCCCTTTGGTTTCACACAGTCTTTTTGCCAAGAACCCCAGGGCTGGCTCCTCCTCCAGGCTACCGATGGGCTCAGGTGGGAGGCAACTACGCACCTGTTCTGCTGTAATATGCTGTTCCCATCATTAGAACCCAAACAGCCATAGCTAAAGTTATTTATTTTTCTTTTTCATACAGTGATCCATGATTTAAAATACCTTTTTAAAATTAAAAACAATTTTTTTCAAGCTCATTTTCCCCACTGTGGAAAACTTTGTGAAAATTAGTTCCCCAAGGAGATGCTCTTTTGTATTTACAAGAAATATTAACAACTAGAGGGAGTTTTATCAGGGTATAAATATTGTAAAGTTTATCAGCCCATTAGTGGACTCTGAATCCAACACAAAAAGGTTACTAACCTCTGGGTGGCTTTCGAGAATTCCATTTAAAGCTTAGGCGGCTGTGAACCATTCTCCATCAGGAGTGATGTTCACTCTACAAATATTTATTGCACACCTACTATATACTACAAGCCCAGGCCTCTAAAGACATCACTGTATATAGCAGAGGGTGCAAATGAACAGCACATTGACCAGATTCAGCCAGCAAACACATTTTGTCCTACACACACCATATTTATCAAAAATTTGAATTAGTTGCCAACTTTTAAATATCAGAATATTTCCAGCTTCTCTTGAAAACTCAAGAAACTTGGCATAACTGAGCCCGCATTCCTGGCTGATGACAAGAAGAGTAACAACTGCCCACTTCAGACAGGCACTGGCCCTGGATTCACACCACCCCCACCTGCCCAGACCCTCGGCATGTGCTGGTGGTTCTCGTGATAGGCAGCCACGGCACACACAGGGATTTTCTGACTTTGTGTCTTCTCAACTTTTCCCCTGTTTAATAAAGACTTTTTCAGTCCTAGTTATTGTAAAGTTAGAGAAAACATTTTGTTTTTAGGCTCGCTAAAATGAGGAACTTGTCACAAAAGGAATGTGGCAAGGCTAAAGCACAGAGGCAAACAGTGAGGACTATGAGAGCAGTGTGGCACTCAGGGATGTCCGCACTGGCCAACTGAGGAAGCCGAGGCCCAAAGAAGAGCGAAAACATGCCCAGATCCCATTACTGACCAGTAGGAGAAAAGAAGCGTGTTCTGGATGGTCGTTGGCCAGCTGGGACGACATTCTTTTCTATACGTAGAGGTGAGTTCTCGTTCGCAGTTTCTGCTTACGTGTTTCCGAGAAGTGGCAAAGAAGCCCATTAGATCTGGGAATAAATGAGAGGACTGACTTCAGAAGTCACACCGTGATATCGAGTACCTGATTCTAAATGAACCTGCAGAAGATTAATTAGTAATTTTCATCTAGATCTATTGACTCCTTATATGTGGGTCAAAATTATCATATATGAATGAAGAAATGTGGCTATCGATCCCCGTGGAGTGAGTTGGGTGAGGCAGCCTGTTTTCAAATTATGTATGACCAAAATTTTCCTTGTATTTGTTTCTAGGGATAGAGTTAGACAGGTTGATCTTCATATTTGTTGATAGTAGAAAGTTTTACTAAAAGCAATATAATCCACTTGCAACAAACACCACGATACTGACCGAAATCTTCGAGAGGACAGATTACAGGAAATTTACATGGGCCACTGCCTGGGCCTTAAGACATTCTGGTGTATGTATAATGAGCATATATGATCATTCGGTAGCCCTGCTTCCAAGGACTCTTCTGGTAAGGAACTTCAGTTAATACAAGAATCAGTTTTATGTGCAGCAGAAAGAAAGGGAGGAGAGTTTGTGGAACGAGCTGTCTTATTTAGCCCTAACGATCTGACCAGAAACAGGGTTTCAAACCTACTTTTAAAGATGAGGACAGTTGAGGCCAAGAAAGCTGACCTCCTCAACCAATTCCCAATCACCAGGAACCAGTTACACCGGCATCATTCTAACTCTAAAACCTGAGCGTTGTCTGCTACAACAACTCGTAGCAAAGAGCCCGCTAAAATGAATGGTCGTGACCAAAGACGTTAAGAGAATGACAAACACAGCTAGGCTAGAGTATGCAATAAGTACAAGAGAAAGCAGACACAGGTGTTTGGGGGAGGGGGGACGTGGTCAGAAGAGGGCAAAGGCACATGGGGTGGAGAGTTGGTTGTGGGTCAGGGAAGGCTTCAAGGAAGCAGTGCCATTTGAGAAAGGCCTTGAAGGATGCACTGTGTTACAGCAGGCAGAGGAAAGAGGAGCAGCAAAGCAGGGTCTGGCACCAGAAAGAAATGGAAGATGAGGAGTTTAGGCTTGGAATTCACAAAGAAAGCTTCATCGAGCGAGGTAGCAATGTGAAGAAATAAGTCTTCCCAACACCTGTAAGGCAGGGCGGAGGCCCTCACATGAGAATAGGCGACCCCTGGACCGCATGAAGCCCACCCGGATACCCACACTCTTCTCTCCCTTCCCTCCTCTCCCCTCAGAGACCTGTGCCTTTCAGAGCCAGGCACCTCCTGCCTGCCTGACTGCAACTCACTTCTTTCCCCCTTTCATCTCCCATCTTTGCCACCACCTCAGATTGTAGGAGCCTTGCGTTTCCTGTTGAAGGGACTCCACCAGCAGCGAGGCGGGAGGAGGCAGTAGGAAACCCCAAGTCCAGCCTTCAGAGAGAATCCCTCTGGGCAACGACAAAGGGAACAAAAGGCCGGACCGTCCTGAGGTTGCGCGTCTGCCCCGCCCGGGGTCCCGCTTCGCCAGCTGCAGGCCATCTCCGGCAGCTCAGCTCGCAGGGGTCAAGGATGCTCCTGAGCACAGGCCCCGGAAGCCGCTTCTCCAGGCAGGACCTCCCCAGGCGCTCAAGGGGGACCAGCCCCTTTGGTGTTTAGGGGACATTTCATTATTTCATTATCCTTGGCACCCAATCACAGAAGTGAAAAATCTGATCCCGTTTACAACCGAAGCCAGTGAGGCTCGGAGAGCACAGTCCCTGGTCCTGGGAACGCAGGACGCTGCTGGGGCTGTAACTCATGCAACCTCCGCAGGGAAGGGGGCGACCCCCGCCGCGGGAACGCGTCCCCCCAGCGCTGCCGGTGGCGAGCGTGGCGAGGCGGGACCCCGA